TAAAAGAAAACAGCTCTGTAAGGCCAGGGTGTGACCGTTGAATCAACTTTTTTTTTTTTTTTTTTTAAAGGGTCTCACTTCACAGTTCAGGCTGGCCTGGAACTCATTTTTGTAGCCCAGGCTTGTCCGGAACTCACAGCAATCCTTCTGCCTCAGCCTCCCAAGTGCTGGATTATAGGTGTATACCACCATGCAAAACACAAACTTTGTTTATGTGGTAGACTTCTGTTTGTGTTTTTTATTTATTTATTTTTATTTTTTATGTATTTAGTACTGGCAAGTCTCACTACACAGATTAGATTTGTAGAGATTCTCCTGTTTTCAGCCTCTCAAACCCTGGGATTACAGGCTTGAGCCACCACGCCAACTTTCAATTGCAGTCTCAGAGTGCCCCAGGGACAGGGCTGTCATGTCACGCTGGGTATCAAACCCTGGCCCCTGCATCTGCCTAAGCAAGTGCTTTAATCTGCTGAGCTATCTGGCTGGCCCTGTTTGTGTTTACATCGTAGTTCACATAGTTTTATTTTTGATGTTATCCTTTAGGATTTTAAGTAAACAACTAACGTGAAAATGTTGATGTCTGTCCCAAGCACTCGTTACATATTTGATATTTTATTTTATTTTATTGAAGAGTTATTTCCATACTAAGTGCTTATTGTACAATATAGTAGGAAGCTCCTGACAAAAAAAGGAAGAGTTGACAAGGCTGCCACCTAGGAAAGCTAATCACACGTGCCAGGCATGTGCATAGAACATGCAGTTGTCATGTGTGAAGACTGCCTTGGATGTGAATACCTGTCACAAAGTTTTTTTTGTGGTACAGTTCTATCAGTATTTTCATTGTAGTTCATGTAGGAATTTATTTTTAATGTTATTGCTTAGGTTTTGTAAGCAAGTGCACAGTTGATAGAAAAATGTTGATGTCTATTCTAAACACAATGCATATTAAGAATTTAATATTTTGTTTATATTTTATGTTCCTGTAAACTACACATTGATAGGTTCTCGTCTTGGTATGAATTGTTGAATTATTATGTCATCTAACATGCCTGAAGCCCTTAAAACAACAGCTTATCTTCCCAGAGACCACCTCCTCCCTTCTTCTCCAACTCAGCCAAGGGTACAATTTTCTTTCACCTTTCCTGCCACCTCAGGGAAGACCCCAGTCAGCTCCTCAGGTATATCTAAACTCCACCCTTGGCAAAAGGCTGTAAAAACCTCAGCCTCTCTTTGCTCCAATTCAGAGAATCTCTTATCTTCCCCAGATTCTGTGTCCTTAAAGATAATAAAGCCCCTTTCCCTTTTTCCTTGTTTCTCTGCTGCGACCCCATCAGAAAAAAAAAACCTATCACACACTGTATAGTTAAGAACTTCCTGACAAAACAGTAAGACTACTGAGATGTCAGGTATATCCTACAAAATGGCCAGGAAAGCAAAACACATGTGCTGTCAGTGTGATGTATGTGGAACATGCTGTTGTCGTGTGTGCAGTCTGCCTTAGGAAGGATAATTGAACTAAAGATTTCTTTTGTAAAGTGCTATTGATATTTTCATTGTAGTATATGTAAGAATTTATTTGTGCAGGGGCTGGCCAGCTAGCTCAGTGGATTAAAGCACCAGCTTAGGCAGGCACAACAATCACAGTTCGATCCCCTGCGTGCCACACTGTATACACTGAGACAGTGATTCAGACTGGGCATGGTGGCACATGTCTGTAATCCCAGTGCTTGGGAGACTGAAAACAGGAGGATTACTACGATTCCGATCTGTGTAGTGAGACCCTGAATGCCCTGTACTAAATACATAAAAAACAATTTTTTTTTAATTTTTTATTTATTTATTTATTTATTTATTTTGCGGTACTGGGGATTGAACTCAGGGCCCTACGCTTGCCAGGCAAGTGCTTATTCTACTGAGCCATCTCCCCAGCCCCATAAAAAACAAAATTTTTTAAAAATTTTTAAATTTGTGTTCTTTTCTAGACAGTAAAAAAGTTGCTAAAAATTTTGATACTGTTTTATAAACAATATTAAAATTTTTAATTTTTTTCCTGTCAAGTCCTGATTAATATAATAAAACTCATAAAATGAAAATTTATCAATAAAAATATTCTAAAGAATAAACATAGGTCTGACAGTCTTATGTTTATGGGTCTTGATGACAAAATTAGTCTTATGTCCTAAGGGTTAAAATCAGTAAGAAAAGTTACTAAAAATAGTTTTACCCTCACAGACACTCTTCAGGTAGGGTAATTAGAAAGACAAAAGCAGGAAAAGCTAGCTAGACTTGGGAGAGGCCCAGACAACACAATTACCAGGAAAACCCAGCTCCCCTCACCCACCTGACAAAATGCAAGGGGGAGGAAGGATGGCTCTTATTTAATATTTGAGACACACACACACACACACTGTACATGTAAACCTGTTCTCAAAATACAGCACATGCATGTATGCATGTTTACTCACTAAGTCTAAAGCTGCCTTCCTCCAAGCCCTCCCCACTTCATTACAAAAGGACCAGAAGAAACCAGAAGGGTCTGGCCTACCACAAAGACAGCAAAGAACAGATATCTAGATATGGACAAGCACCCACCTGCGAGATGGGAAGACAATAGAACCCCTATGCCTCCCACCGCCTCGCTGTAGCTGGCTATCCTCTTTTGCATCTTTTCCCCCCAAATAAGCTGTCTTCTTTATCCTAAATCTGCCTTCTTTAAGTCCATTTACTGGAGCTAAGTCGTGTCCCTGTTGGTAGTGCGTTCCAGGTGGGGAGCAGCGCACAATGACACACAGAATCCAAAGATTCACATTTTCATTTTAATGTATAGCTTTAAGACTTTTCTCTTATCTCAAAAAATAGTAAAATGACCGATGGGAAGTGTTATTTATTTAGTAGGAAAATGTTCTTCAGTTTCAGAGGGAATGACCATCTCATATTTCAAGTGATTTCTAATCTCTTTGAAAGACTGAAAATTGTACACAATGTTGCATATTCTTAGCCAGATTACAGTCCTCTAGGTCTATTAATGTTGAATGTATTAAGTAAGATGGTCATTATTTTGGTGTATTTACCAGGACTTGTAGTCACTCATTTCTTGCAGCTGTTTCTTGCTACCTTCCGAATTTTACAACTCCCCAAAATAAAGGTGGGGAATACAAACACCCACCCTCCTTTTCTGAAGACACTCCTGTGATGTAAACACAAATACAGACAAGAGGAAACTGAAGGCTTTACGATCAGTGTTGTTGCTAAACTTTTGCTATTTCTTTAAAATTTTTGACCCCCACGCTATCTGCTTGCAGCGGAGACAGCAGCTCCCAGCCCACGGCTCCTGTGGACTCAGCTCCCGGCGCGGCAGGGAATCGATCTGAGGTCTCTCCCTCAACCGCCATTAAAGCGATTTCCTTTGTTCATTTACTTAACAAATATTCATTCCGTTTCAGCTGCTTCTTCGCCTCTGGAAAATCAATTTGGGCCTCACGTTCAGCCCCAGCACCCTGCACGCACGGTCCCCTGCTCACTCAGAGCCCCGTCGCAGGCACTGCCTCAGCAAACGCTGCGTCGGATTTACCAAATGCCGCCTCTCCTAGGACTAAAAGGCCTCGAGCATTAAGCCGGCTCGCTTCTCTTCATCCCTCTCTGCCACCCAGGAAAGCGTTAATAAGAATAGTGACCACAGTCTCGCTCAGCCCGTGCGGCAGCTAGCTGAGCCAGTCTCACACTGCGAGGCGCCATTCTGTCCTCAGCTTGCCCCAAGCTGCGGCCGGGACTATCGGATGGAGAGCCAGGACGAGTGTAAGAGTCTAAGCTTCCAACGCCTCTCGGCAGGAGGTGGACCGGAGTTCCGCGGGGGTCCAGCAGCCCCCTCAGTCTCAGCTGGATTTTTCCATCCGTCCTGCTGGCTCTGGATCCCGGACTTCGCAGCGGAACTACAACTCCCAACCCCGTGGCTGCCCGGACTCCCGGAAGTCCCTGCCCACCGGACGGAAGTAGCTGAGACCCAGCCTAGAGGCCGGGGGCTAATTCAACTAGAAAAGGGGGCGGGAAGGGCTGCAGGGCACCTGTCAGTTCGCCACCATGAACGTGGTTTTTGCTGTGAAGCAGTACATTTCGAAAATGATAGAGGACAGCGGACCTGGTATGAAAGTACTTCTCATGGATAAAGAGACGGTGAGTTTGCTTTTGTTCAGTGTTTGTAAAGGAAGCCTCCCTCAGAATAACCGGTCCCGTCCCACCGTACCATTTGGTATTTAGTCAGATAATGAGGGTCACATAGAACTGAAAAGTTGTACAAACCTGCCCAGTGGATTTTCAGTCTAAATGACTAGAACTGTTGCCCACAGGCTTCTACCCAAAACGATGTCTCTCAGCCAAGACATCATTTGTATGTGAGACATCACTTCGAAGACTTTGAGATGGCCCTGTTGTTTCTATTGAGCGTTGTTTTCAAAGTAAAGCTGTCGGAGCTGAAGCTGAGATGACAGGTTTTGTACTGGCCCCTGAGAGAGGGGGAAAAGGAAGGCAGGCAGGCAGGCAGACAGACAGACCTTAGGTGATGGAAAAGAAATTTATGGATTGTTCATTTTCAGGAGAAACGTTTTTCATTCTGATTAATTACAACCTGTTTTGAATGTTTGTAAATATTATTTAACCGGTTAAATTTTAATGAAAAACTGATTTATGTATTGATGGTTATATCAGTTATTCTAGACTAGCATAACCTTAGTTAACTCTTTTTCTTTACAGACTGGCATAGTGAGTATGGTATACACACAATCAGAGATTCTTCAGAAGGAAGTGTACCTCTTTGAACGTATTGATTCTCAAAATCGAGAGATCATGAAACACCTGAAGGCAATTTGTTTTCTTCGCCCTACGAAGGTACTACATAAGCTGAGCTGCTGTCTACCCAGGCAAATGTAAAACATTCTGAAAGCATTAAGGACAAATAAATTTGTATTATCATCAGTGGTATCATAATGATCCTGGCTTATCAGAATTATAACTTTCATTCTTCCTTCCATGTCTCAGTTCACCAGTTTACAGCCGACTCTTCCTTCAAGGTGTCTTTTAGGTTCACACCTAGTCCCGAATCTATTAACTACTCTAATAGGGAACCACATCACTTTATTCCTGGATTAACCCCCATACCTATCACTGAACACCATTGCCACTTCATCTTACAACAGCAATCAGTGTCTTCTTCTTTTTTTTTTTTTTTTTTTTTGGTGGAACCAGGGATTGAACTCAGACCCTTGCACTTGCCAGTGAAGCGTTTGTTCTACTGAACCATCTCCCCAGCCCCAGAAATCAGTGTCTTGAACCTTTACCATTTATTCACTTCTGTGCTTAAGAGAATTTTCCTTGTATTATTAAAACTATATTTTAATATATCGTAGTCAAAGCCCTCCTCTTACTGGTTTGGTCTCTCCTTGGGTACCCAACTTTTGTATGTCCTTATTCTTTCCACTACAGCAAACTAGGCCTTTTTTACCATCTCTTGACTTACTCATTTCTGTCCCTTATTTGTTATGTTCCCCTAATTAAAAATTTTTCAGTCATTTATTAGCTTTTGTCCATCACTTTCTAGCTTGAGGTGCCAGGGATATAGCTCAATAGCACACCACCTGCCTGGCAAGCTCAAGGTCATGAGTTCAATTTCCAATACCAAAAAAAAAAAAAAAGTCTTGCTTGAGAATGTCCTTTAAAAATTATTTCCTATTTCTTTTCTTTTTTTTTTTTCTTTCTTTTTTTTGGTACTGGGGATAAAACTTAGGACCTTGTGCTTGCCGGGCAAAGGCTTATGCCGCTGAGCTATCTCCCTGGACCTCTTTGCTATTTCAGTCTTATTTTATATAATTCTTCAACTTGAATGCATTTTTGTCACACTTGTATATTATGTACTTTCCAAAATGCAAATCTGATCATGTTACCTTAATTTGAAATCCTTAATTGACTTGTCATTGTTTTATGGGAGGGAATTCTTGTTTATTTTGTTTTGCTTTTTGGTATTAGAAATTGAACCCAGTGCCTTCTACATGCTAAGCAAGTACTCTACCACTAAACTGCACCTGAATCCCCTTTCATTGGTTATATGCTAAAGATAAAATTGCTGGACCTGTGCGTGGTGGTTCACAACTATAACCCAGCACTTGGGACACGGAGGCAAGAGGAAGGCTGTGAGTTTGAGCCCAGCCTGGGCTACATATTTCAAGTTCAGCCTGCACTGCATAGGGAGACCCTGGCTCCAACAAAACAAAACAAAACAAAATCACTTCCTGTTGCCTGCAAGGTTCATTGTGGTTTGGTTCCTACCATTTCTCCAGCTTCATTTCAAACTATTCCCCATTTTGTGTTCTGCAGCTTACCACACTAGTCTTTCCAGCCACTGTATTCCCCTTTCTCATCATACTGTAGGACCTTTGCATGGGCTCTCCCCTGCTTGGAACTTCTTCACTTTCTCAAACACACTTTCCCAGCCTCACTAACTGGGACAAACTGCTCCTTCCAAGTGCTTACAGCATTGTCTTCTCCAGATCTTCTGTCATTGTTAAAGTTACATGTATTTTTTGTTTGTTTGTTTATTAGAATCTGTCTTATCTAGCAGCAGTAAACTCCAGGAGAGTAGAGATGGTATCTGCTTTTACTCACTTTTATGTCCCTAGCACCAGCTACATTATGGACACTTAATAGTTCTCAGGTTAATGAATATGATTTTTTAAAAATTTTATTTATTTATTTGATACAGAACCTCACTACTCAGTTCAGACTTGTAGTGATCCTCCTGTCTCAGCCTTCCAGTGCTGGGATTACAGGATGCACCACCACACTGGTTCCAGGACTGGCACAGAATGTGGTACTGGGGCTTGAACTCTGGTCCTTGCACTTGCCAGGCTGTCACTTAGACCACTGAGCTCTCTTCCCTAGCCTGTGAATATGTTTTACTATATCGATCTACAACTCTTTCACATTTGTAGCTCTTAGAGCTCTTAGTCATGAAATTTTGGTGTAAGAAGAATCTTAGAGATCATTTAGTTATTTCCTAACATTTTTTAATGAAGTACTCTCTTTAACAGTTGTACATAATCTCTTAAGCTCTCTTCTTCATTTTGTCATTTTTACCTAGTATATTATAAGGAAATAATTTAGGTTTAATGTATTTGTTATTGAAATTATTGTCTTTATATCATAGTTAACTTTTAATATATTTTAAATCTAAATGACAATTTTTAAAACTTTTTTCCCATTTAATAAGAAATGATTTCTTAAACTTTTAAATGCTGTAAAGAAATGTGATTTTTCCCCATAATTTGATTGAGCAACAAATAACAATGAAACAGTTTCAAACCAAATTAGTAGGACAGTTTCAATAATTAATACATTGCGTATTGTTGTCTTAGTGGTTATTCATTGTGCAAGATGCAGACATGATATCCTGTTTACAGACACTATTAGAACAAATCTTTCTATTCATTGAATTAAGAGAATGTAGCTATATATCTATCCTAACTATTTTGAATATATGGATACAAAATGGTCGTTCATTTTTTTTTGTTTGGTTGGTTGGTTTTTTTGGCGGAACCGGGGATTGAACTCAGACACTTGTGCTTGAATAGTCGTTCGTTTGTATTCCCCCTTTTTTTTAGTTTTGTCATTTAAATATTATAGATGTGTCAGTTCAGCAAAATATTCTACAATGGTCCAGTAGTCCATAATAGTAGTGGGTTTTCTGTAAGCCTGGCAATGCCAGAAATTGTTGACTTGAGACTGCTACAGCTCAGCATATTAATATGGCTTTACTTTTATACTTTGTTGTTATACTTTTCTGCTGGATGGTTAAGACCAAGATAAAGCAAGACCTATATAGCAAGAAATGTAGCTTTTGTATCTGATAAGGTCAGTCAAATTTCCTCAGGATTTATCCTGAAACCCTGTACCGCAATTTGTAGATACTTTGTCAGTGTCAGCCACATGGATGAGTCACTGCCATTGCTTGACCAATTTGCTCTCTGTGAAAGCATGAAAGAATGTTTTCTCTCCATGTGACTCTCCTTAGGCACACTCTGCATCATCGATCACTTTCCTCTGTGCCGCATAATCTCCTTGATCAGAAAATTTGGGACACAACTGAGTTGCATGATGTTACAGTACAGGTTCTCCTATGTCTTGAGTCTTCACTGACCTTGAAAGGCTAGGGCCAAAATGTTGGCTGTCCTTGCAGCCCTCCTTTTTCTCTAATTTTTGGTCTGCACACTTAGGTTATTAATCCTCCAGAAGAGAAGCTTATTGTTATTACGCTACAACCTATGCTGTTGAGCTTAACTTCACTATCTGTCTGAATATCAAACATCTTAGGCATAACATGGAATAGGTATTTTTCATCAAGTATTGATATGTTAAACTTTAAGTCCCTACAGAATATGAAGAAAAAAATTTTTAATTAAAATATATTTTAAAAATAGGAATAAACAATTATATATTTTTACACAGAAGTTTAGAAATCTAACCATATCCAGCATTGTAGCAGGAGAGTCACGCAACGCCCCTTTTTCTGTCTCCTGCCATCATTCACTACCCGCTTCCTTTTTAAACAAACATCTACCCGAGAGACAGCACAGCAGCAACTGGCGTGTCATAGCAAGCAGCACGTATTCAGAAGACCAGAATGACAGGCATTCCAAGCATGAAACTACTATTACACATTGCCATCTTAGTGCTGTTGCTTAGTTCACAGCTATCAGCATATATAGTTAGTCAGGGTGAGAATCCTTCCAATTAACTGCTAGCTTCGAAAACCTTCTGAAGATTCTCAGGATCATTGCCTTACCCATCTTTTTTTTTTTTTTTTTTTTTTTTTTTTTTTGTGGAACTGGGGATTGAACTCAGATCCTTGCGTTTGTCAGTCAAGCGCTTATCCTACTGAGCCATCTCCCCGGCCCCACCTTACCCATCTTGTACATATAAATGTAGGGCTTTGCCCCTGTCATGTTTCCTAGCTTTTTTCCTTGCTCTCTCTTCATTTTCTAATCCTCAAGTTCTTGCTTTCCTTTTAATTGTGTTATAAAGAAATGTGACTTTTATAAACCACTAAAAATGATATGTTTGGAGGCCAATTTATATTGAAATATAACCATGTGTGATATGTCAAAAACATAAAACATGCATGATTTTGTATAATTGGAATTTTTGTGAGTTTTTTGTTTGCTTGGTTGATTTGTTTTGTTTTGTTTTGTTTTGTTTTGTTTTGTTTTGTTTTACACAAATTCTTACTATAGAGTCCAGGCTAGTCTTGAACTCCATATGTAGCTCAGTGTTTCTTGGTCTTAAATTCAAGATCCTCCTTCCTCAACCTTCTAGCTGCTAGGATTACAAGTGTTCACCACCATACCTCTTTTTTCATGCTTCCTTTTTGTTTTGTTTTTGAGAGAGGGTCTCACCTATATAGCCCAGGCTGACCCAAACTCTCAGTGATCCTCCTGCCTGAGCCTCCCAGGGGCTGGGATTTCAGGCGTGCATCACCATACCAGACTGCTTCTTATATTTTGACCTTATAAAAATAACTGCCTTTGCTCTTAACATTCATATTTTATTTTAAAACAATGTATAGAAAAGGCCTTAGTCTGCTGTATGCAAGTGCTTTATAAGCATTGCAGTTGTATCAATCCTTAGGTTCCAATAAATTAAAAGCTAAAGTAAGTATAATTAATTACATTTCCTCTTGAACATTGATATTAAAAGATAGTGCTCATTTGGCAGTACATATACTAAAGTTGAAATGATACAGAGGTTATCATGCCCTTTGCACAAGGATGACATGGAAATTCATGAAGTGTTCCACTAAAAAGAAACTAGAGGGGTCAGGGAAATGGCTCAGTAGAATAAGCACTTTCCTGGCAAACACAAGGGCCTGACTTCAACCCCCGGTTCCAAAAAAATAAAAAGTGAGCAAAAAGAAACTAGACACATTTTAATGTTCTAAGTAAGAATTTTGGTCAGATGAATATGGTTTATAAACAAGCAACTTGAGGCAAATTTGTAAAACTATTAGCAGTTGTATGTTGTGTTTCGGCATGTATCTTTTATGCTTTTTATCTAGTTCATATGTAATATTAAATATATAATGTGTATGATTTTAACCATTATATTTGATATATCCATTTGTATATGTGCATGGTACTGAGGATTGAACTCAGGGCCTTCGGCCTGAGCCACATTCCCAGCCTATTTTTAGTTTTTATTTTGAGACAGTGTCTCGCTAAATTGCCTGGTCTGGGCTCAGACTTGTGATCTTCTGCCTCGGCCTCCCAACGTGATGAGATACAGGCATGCACCACCGCTCCTGGCATACTTTTTCACTTAAGCAACTATCTTCTTATTTTCTAGGAGAATGTGGATTATTTGATTCAGGAGCTTCGAAGACCCAAATACAGTATATATTTTATTTGTAAGTATGTAGGTTTATTGTTTCAATCATGTACTTAGATCCCAGCTGTGTGTTGCTTCCTTGTTCATGTCCTATCATCAAGTTCACTGAATCCATCACTATAAAAATTTCTTTTTAATTATTAAAAGTATAGGGGGCTGGTGAGATGGCTCAGTGGACTAAAGCACCTACTTAGAAC